AGGTACAACCATAATAAAAGTTATTATTCATAATAAAAAGCCATTTCATTTTTAATATTCAGAACAAACTACATAGTTTAAATACTTATAAATCTATATAAAAATATTACACGTGACTGTGATTAATTTATAGTACAAAATTTTTAACAATTATTTTAGGTACTATTATTTATCGTAACTTTACACTAAAGGCATTATATACATTGTTCAACTGAACTTTTGGTACCGATTTTCATAAAAAGTTATTTCAATTTAGAACTGCATTGAGTACACCTGAAAGGCTATTGTGTTAATAAATATCTTGGATATGCTAATATAGTCAAGACAATGTTATAGAAGTACTAAACAAATTCCTAGTCGAAACTTAACGAATTTAATGTATTCTCTTTCATTCATACCACTGCATTAACATTTATATTTTATCCATTACCATAGAAAAACCATTTTAACATCAACCATTATTAATATTTCATTCATATTTTATGTCAACTACGTTTTTTGGTACGCATACAATTTTTATTTATTATAATTAATATCTATTTTAGTTTTCATAATTAATTTTATATGGAGGTTTTTTGGAACAGTAGTGAATTACAACAACAGAAATTTTATTTTTTATATTATTTTAATTAATTGAATTTTTGGCTGTTTCGAGTATTGCCAAATACTCATCGTCAGTGGTTTTGGAAATAATTCTTGTATTTAATTATTCGTAAATAAGAATTTACTGAGACTGCAAGTACCAGGAATCGAACACGGGTCCTGCCAAGTGTGAGCTTAGAATCAGCGCATCTTAATCAACTGATCAAAAGGCGTACTTAAGTTTTTATTAACAATTTTACTTGCTGTGTTTATATTAGAACGAAATCATAAACCAGCTGTAGAATAATTGAATTAATTAATTAATTATTTTTTTTTTATTTTTAATTGTTAAATTTTAATACTATTCTGTTCATATAATTAATTTTAATAATAATTAATTTTAATAATTATTAATTTTTAAATATTAATTTTATATAACACATTTTAGATGTGGAAGTTTTACTGGAATTACATATATGTTCATAAAACGTAATTATATTTTTAAAATTCTGTTCTTTTTTTATTGGTCCATATAGCTGTAAATAAACAGAAGTCATTTTTTTGAATTTCTTTGTTTTGTTTTCAGTTGATTGTCGAAATATAATTTACAAAAATTTATAAAAATATTTGAATCAACACAGTTTTTTCTAATGTTCTGAAAATTTAAAAATTATTTAGTAGAATTTTTTTCATTATAATTTTTATTCGTCTATTTGTTTTATTAATTTTATTACTTTAATTTTTTATGTACATTGCAAAACTTTACTAGTAGTAGTATTGTATGTCTTAAATATTCCAAATTTTCAGTTATTGATGATGATTCCATAGCCAAACTTTTTAAGCAACTAATTTCAATAGTTCACACAATATTATAAATGCTCACGACTAATAAACTTCAAGCATTTTTGTTTTGTTTTTAAGATAATAAATCAAATTACTAAGAGGAACTTGTCTGTCAATTTTAAGTTGTCTATTCAAAACACTTCCGCAAACGATTAATTATTTTTCAACTCAAAAGATAAACTCATAAAAACTTCATAAGAGACCATAAAAATGCTACAAATTTCAAGAATTTAAAACAAAATTCTTTCAGAAATTCTTAATGCATTTTTTTAATTTAAACTTAATAAACATTTACATATAAACTATGCAAAAATTGAAAATATACAATAAATTTGTTTTTATTACTACTACGATTTTTAATTTTTTTTGTTTCTTCAAAATAAAACTATAACAAAAGCAAACCTAAAACTATCTGATGTTCAACAAAGGCGCCAAAAACTTCAAACCAACAAATTTTATTATTTTTTCACTGATCTTTTCAAATCTTGACATTGAAAACCAAAAGTTATGAAAACAAAAACAAAACAAAAAAAATTCAAAGTCAATGTTAAACGGTAAATGTGTATAATTAAATAAATGTGATGAAGCCACAAATGCCGGTAATACTTCCACTCCACTCCATTCCACTCCGCCCTCTTGTTTTTTCCGCGCTTTTGGAAGTATCTCATTTTCGGTTTTTTCTTCGGAGAGCTACTCGTAGATATTTTTGATTTTAGGTTTTTGGAAGTGTCAAAATATTTTGTGTTACGCGTCAGAGGTACCTAATATAGCAAACTTTGAATTGTAACTAATTAATAATATCTCAAACACATTCACACACAGATACATGGGTTTATTTATTTTAATAGATACAAGTTATTTACATTGTTTAAATGGTATTTTGTCACTCAATAAATTTCAGTTTCGTCACGTTTAATTTATTTGACAATTGTTGATATTTTGATTTGTTAACATTTTTTTTTTTTGGTTGTGGATAAACAAAAAATTTGTTTGAAATTTGAAATTCTCTCTTTTATAATAAATAAATTTAAATGATTGTTTTGGAGATTATAATGTTTATGTATCTAAATTGTAATCATAATTATAACCCTTTAGTTCGAACCGATAAAACATCGCCAAATGAAATCTTAGTGATGTTAATTTTATTTTATTGTTTTGCTTTTTTTTTTTCATACCACCCTGATTTTCTTTCAAGTAAGAAGTAGCGCAAAATAAACAGAACTTTTTCAAAATATGTTTTTTTACTGCCCATATTTATTAACAATTCTATGCGCCCCAAAAGTAGATGCTTGACTCATGTACTATTATATTTATATGATATATAGCCGAAGAGAAGCAGACTTATTCCCTCTGTAGCAATAGTATTTGTCGTATCAAATCCATAAACTTAATCTTCGACTATTAGTGGAGTTCCAATCGATCACCATTCTTGTAGTGTGACTGGTTGTGATACCACAAATTAGGTTATCTACTATTTATTATCATATCATATTTCATATTATCATATCATATATCATATTATCATATCATATTTCATATTATCATTTAACAATATAATATAGTTTATTTGTTGGATAAACTTAAAATAAAATAAATTATAATTCTCATATGGTTTGTGAATACTACAAACATTTTTGTTATTACCCTTTTGAAAATGATACTTGCAGTCCAAGAAATTAAATTCAATTATTTTGTAAGATCACTGATAATGAGTACTTGGCAATCGATAATTAAAACAAAAACAAAAATCATAAAATACTTTTAGTGGTATTATTGGAGAAACAATTATTCTCTGAGGCAATTATTATATCCGTCTTCAAATTAAACACAAAGCTAATACTCATTTCTTTTCGATTTAACTTATATTTTCGTCAATGTTTACCATTATAGAATATGACCGATGCTTATCACTCCGTGATTATAGATGCTCTTAGTTTAGATTTAAATACCTTAATAATTTATTTAAAAAATATTTAGTACATTACTCGAAGTAATCAAATGAAATAGAAAATATGTAAGATTTAAAATAATAGAATATCTAAATAGTGAATCACAAACTTGACTAACTGCTATAGTGCCAATTGTTGCAGCTCTTTTATTGGTGAGAATTCACAGTACGATGATCGTATGTGAATGAAGAACCGTTGTTGAATGAAGAAGATTTTTTTTTTTTTATAAATAGAAATCCAATAATTTTCAGAATAACTTCTTATCCCAGAGTATTACATAAAATAAAATGGAGGCTGCACACATTCTAAGTTTTTGACAAGAAAGAAGATAACCTCAACTATATTTCTTATATACATTTTAGAAATAGTGTTAGCCGGGGATGAGTTCGAGAAAAATTGCTTGAAATTGTTTATCAAAGTGAATAAATCTGAGGTATATAACAACTCTGGAATAACACATTATCAAACATCCTGTTTTCAGTGTTTTACATAGCAATCACATCTTTCTTTTTTGATCTTGTAGGGATTTGAAGAAAAGATATTTATTTATCAAGAATTGTATGATAATGTTTAAATATTTTTTTTTTCAGTATTTAAAGTAATCTTTCTGTATATAACAATTAATTACTTTTCAATATCAAAGAGATATAGGTATCTGTTTCATTTAGTTATTCTGACTAAACCAATGAGTTGGTGTTTTTAAACTAATTTGTAAGCGACGCTTTAAATTGAAGTAAATAATCTTGTTTAAATATATCTCCAGAGCATATCGTTTTGAATTACAAGTCGTCTATCATATTTTTTTTTTTTGGACTAAACATATATGTTAAAAATTAGAATAAATTATACAAATAAAAAAATGTTTAAAAGTGATATCTTTCCAGTTTAAATGGTATAATTTTTTATCAAATTGTCCGTAAGGTAACAGACGAAAATTTATTTTCTTTCATCTGTAGAATATTGGGCTCCTCATTAATATTATTGAGAACATTTTTTAAATGCTTTGAAGTGTAAGAGATCTCTAGTTAAATAAATTTATAGAACATTAGCGTTGTTTTTGATTATCCACAATTTTGATAATGATTATAGACGATAAAATGTAAAAAAAAAAATGAAGACTGATCGGTGTTAAAAATATTCTCTTTTTGCACACACTTATTAAAATTCTTCCAATTATTAGATCCTTTTATCTACTTTGTTATTTATAATTTTTAGTTTTTTTCCAAAAACTAGGTGGCAACATTAAAATTATTCATTGGTTTATATTTAAATAAAATTTTATAAAATGATGGGATATTTTGCAATTTTATGCAAATTTAATTTATCTTCGATTTAAAAAATGTCACATTGCCAAACCGAGTCCACTTTACACAATGACACGTTTTTGATTTGATATTGATACTTTTCGAAAATATATAAAAGTCCGAATAAAATTAATTTTGCGGTGTTGATTCACAGATTTGTGCCGAGTCTTGCTATTGAAACATAAAAATGAGCAACAAAAATTTACAAGGAAAAATTTCCAAAAATTCCAAAATTTATTTGAAATAAAGGAACTTGAAATATAAATATTTGAAATAAAAGAATTTTTAAAATTGTTTTCACTCATTACAATGTCGTTTTTATTAAAAATATTTTTCTTTCTAAACTTAAATATAAAATTACTAAAACTAATTCAGTACAATTGGCTGTGATGCTTATGTTCCTTAACTGTTATTGGCAATTTACAAAACACTAAAAATTTAAAAAAACATAAATTTTCAATTCCTAACTTAAACTTTTATGGTGAAGTGCGATTTTAAAAAGTGTGAAATTAAAACTAATCTAACCCTGAAATGTTAAATATCTAATTCACGCGAACAACACTTTTTCTTCCATTGCAATCGAAATTTTGCACTTAAAATTTAATACAATAAAATATTTGAACTGTTAATTGTTGGCCCCCACATTAAAAGCTCGTAGTACCCCCCTGACTGTTTAGCTGTATATTTTATGGTATGAAGCCGTGATCTTGTTTAATCATATCTGCTGCCTTTTCTGCTATCATAAAAACTGGTCCATTCGGATGTCCTGACATAATTTCTGGCATTATGCTCGCATCAGCCACACGTAAATTCTTAATGCCATGCACACGTAAACGTGGATCTACTACTGCTGCGCGATCACTTCTTGGACCCATTTTAGCTGTGCCAGAATAATGATAAATAGTGAACGTAAAATGTTTAACATAGCACTCCCAGTAAGCTTGCGTTTTGTAGGGATATTTTTTGCATGTCGGTACTTTACGATCCCATAGTTTTGCATTAATTTTCTTGAAGCCTGGCTGGTCCATAAGACTAACTGCTTTTAATAAACCACGCACTGAGATATCAACATCGTATGGATGTGCAAAGTAGTTGGCAAAAATCAGTGGATACTTAAAAGGATCTGAACTCTTTAACATAATGCGACCACGACTTTTTGGACGTAAAATCATAGGAAAGATCATAAAAGCATCCAAATTTTTCTCCTCAATTTCGGCAAACATTGAATCATAAATAGATTTTTTCAAACCAAAAGCACGAGAAATTGCTGGATTCGAGGACATAGAGCCGCCAACTAAGAACAATTCAATATCAGGCCAGCCATCTTCTAAATGTGGATGGTCTAAGTCCCAGAATGCAATAGCTTCACAGCCACCAGGTGAACCGTAAGGACCTTCCTGACGATTGAAACGATTAACCCAAGTAGGTTCGGCAAAATCTTCAAAGTGCAAAGAGGTAGCATTTGTAGTAAAACTTACAGCGGGTGCTGTGTGATCTTGAAGATTGTAACCAACTGCTAAATCTATAATAGGCTTGATACCAACTTCACGCAAATGTTTTGCTGGTCCCACACCCGATAACATCAGTAGTTGTGGTGTGTTTATAGCGCCCGCTGTAACAATAACTTCACGTCTGGCTAAAATTTTATGTTCGCTACCATCAGTATTAACGATGATGCCATAAGCAGATTTTGTTGTGGGATCAATAAGCACTTTAGTCACTAAAGCATTTTTCTTAACATGCAAATTTGGACGTTTGCCTTTTAATGGATACAAGTATGCGCGATTGGAGCTCCAACGTGTAGAATTTCTTGTTGTAGTATGTAAGTAAGCAACACCATTTTGTATATGTCCATTGTAATCGCGATATTTCAAGCCATCCTGTTGTGCTGCTTCTATGAAAGCTTCTGCAATTTTTGATCGCCAATTTACATAAGATACTTTAACTGGTCCATTACGACCAACAAAATCAGCCTCAGCATCAGGTACACTAGAACCTTCATACTTTTTAAAGTATGGCAAAACATCTTTGAAACTCCAACCTTCATTTCCTAAAGCCGCCCAACGATCATAATCTTTACGATTGCCACGTGTGTACATCATATAATTGAGTACTGACGAACCACCCATAACTTTACCGCGCGGCCAATTACAACGATTATTGTTCATGGCGAGACAAGCGTGATCAGAGGGTTGTGTACGATATTTCCAATTCATTTCACCGAGTTGCAAGAAATGCGCTACAATTGGTATATCCATAATCAGTCGTTCAGGACCACCAGCTTCGAGTAGCAACACTTGCCATTTTGGATTTTCGGACAAACGGGCTGCCAATGTGCAACCTGCTGTACCAGCTCCTACGACAATGAAATCATACTCCCCTTCCATTTCGATGTAATTATCAAAGTTTTCTAAATTGACGTCATTTTGACCGCGACGCAAAAAATCCAATGCTTCAAGGATAACATTGCGTTCCTGTGCAAATGCTAAGGTGCATAGACCAAAAATCACTAAAGCGAGTATTTTGTAGTTTATTTGTTTAAATGCAAACATTTTTTTGACAGTTAATTAAAAGTACATAACACACGTTTCTATACACAATTTGATCGTATCTTACTTTGTGTATTTTTTACAACTTCAACTAGTATTTTATTTAAATTTTATTAAGAAATTTATATGCTATACACACTTTTTATTTGTCGTTATAAAACTTTTTTAATAAATTTTTTTTTCAAATTCGATTTTTTAATATTAAATTCAAATTAATTTTTTTTAACGCTGCCGCGATATAAAGTTCTTTAACGCGAGCCCGTCCGTTAGTTCGTCTTGACTAATCGAATACGTAACTATAAATGCTGACTTTTGGTCTATTCAAGTTCACTTTAATATTAAGTAAAAACGTATTGCCTAGCGCTTGTGTCATTCTCCTTCTTTGCCGATTTGCTAGTATCTTTATACTTGATAGTTCATGCGAATAAGTATCTCAGAGATCACGCTTACAATCAAACAGGTTGTTTTGAGTGTCTGCTCATAGTTTAATTTTTGTCTCTGCTGTGTTTGTTGTTGTGCCGTCTATGAAGCAGCGGTTTTTGGTAACGGCGATAAAGTGTTGATGACGACGTTCACGCTGAACTTGCAGATATTTTTTCGCTTTTGTTTTGCTACTTAAGTTAGTTTTTCAGTTACTAATTTTATTGCTTGTAGATGCAATGTTTTAGTGTTGGCGTTGGCAAGGGGGTAGCTTAGAATAGAGTTAGTAAATTTTGTATAAAATAAAATAAAAATAATGCGAATAACTTTGATATTCTACTTCACTGAAAATTGTTTGAATTTTCTGCTTATAGTCTTGCATGTCAATAACCACGTAAACCACAATTTAATGTCAGCAACGATCAATGCAACACAATATATTGTTTTTAACTTCGATTACTATGCGCCATCCATATCAAAAATTTGGCATTGGCATGGCTCTTGAACTATACACACGCAGTACTTAAGCATAACTTCCCTAAATAAAAAATTTAAATTCGCGAATTTTTTAACCTGCTATGTAATTGTGATCCTGTTTGATCATGTCAGCCGCCTTCTCTGCTATCATAAACACCGGACCATTTGGATGACCTGCTATTAATTCTGGCATTATACTAGCATCAGCTACTCTTAGATTTTTTATACCATAAACGCGCAGTCTTGGATCCACTACTGCTGAACGATCTGTGTAAGGCCCCATTTTAGCTGTTCCCGAGTAATGATAAATAGTTAAAGTGAAATGACGTGCATAACATTCCCAATAAGCTCTTGTTTTATAACCATATTTTTTACAAGTCGGTAATACTTTCTCTAGTAATCTCCCATTGATTGCCTTAAATGCTGGTTGATCCATTAAACTTATAGCTTTTAACATACCACGCACAGCTATATCCAAATCGTAAGGATGTGCAAAATAATTTGCATATATAAGTGGATATTTTAATGGGTCTTTACTCTTGAGCATTATACGTCCACGACTTTTTGGTCTAAGTATCATTGGAAATATCATAAACGCATCCAAATTATCACGCTCAATATCCTCATATAAAGCGTGATACAAATTTTGTTTTAAACCAAATGCATTCATTATAGCAGGATTAGAATTTAAAGCTCCACCAACAAAAAATAACTCAATATCAGCCCAACCATCTTGTTTTGTGGGATGATCGAGATCCCAAAAAGCAATTGCTTCACATCCGCCAGGTAATCCAAAAGGACCCTCACCGCTCATAAATTGATTTATTCTTCTACTTTCGAAAAAAGCCTCAAAATGCAATGATGTAGCATTCGTTAGAAAAGTCAGTGCTGGTGCTATGTGATCTTGTAAATTATAACCAACAGCTAAATCTGCTAATGGTTTTATACCCATTTCCCGTAAATGTTTTGCAGGTCCTACACCCGATAACATTAACAATTGTGGTGTATTAATAGCACCAGCGCTTAAAATAACTTCACGTTTTGCTAACACTTTGTACGACCTTCCACCAGTACTCATTATAATGCCATAAGCAGTTTTTGTATCTGGATCGATTAAAACTTTAGTGACTAAAGCAAATTTTTTTATATGCAAATTTGGACGTTTTCCTTTTAATGGATATAAATATGCACGGTTTGAACTCCAACGTAAAGCATTATATGTTGTTGTTTGTAAGTAGGACACTCCCGTTTGTATATGTCCATTATAGTCACGATATTTCAAACCATCTTGTTGTGCTGCCGCAACGAAAGCATCTGCTATAGCGGTACGCCATTTAAGATAGGAAATTTTGACTGGACCATTGCGGCCAACATAATCTGGTTCCGCATCTGGTACCGTTGAGCCTTCATATTTTTGAAAATATGGTAACACATCTCGATAACTCCAACCTTCATTACCTAATTCCGCCCAACGATCATAATCCTTACGATTACCACGTGTGTACATCATATAATTGAGTACCGACGATCCACCCATAACCTTACCGCGCGGCCAGTTACAACGATTATTATTCATGGCGAGACAAGCCGTATTTGTCGCTTGTGTACGATACTTCCAATTCATTTCACCGAGTTGTAAGAAATGCGCTACGATGGGCACATCCATAACTAGATTTTCGGGACCGCCCGCTTCTAACAATAGAACACGCCATTTTGGATTTTCGGACAAACGTGCGGCTATTGTACAACCTGCCGTACCTGCACCCACTACTATAAAATCATATTCTGCTAATAAATTGTAAATGTTATCACGATTTTCGAGATTAACTTCAGTCTGACCGCGTTGTAGAAATTCCAGAAATGAAAGTATAACGTTACGTTCTTGTGCTTTGATAGCACAAAATATTTGTGTTAACAATAAAATAATTAAAACGAATTTTTTTCTGTTAAATTGCATTTTGTTTTTAATTTCCAAACACTTGTAGAATATTTTTATACATATAGATTTTGCATATATTTATAAAAATATAAATTTTTTTATTGGAAATGCTATCTCCGCCGTTTTGTTATGAGATCATTTCAGAACCGCGCTTTCAACTGAACTGTTTGTTCTGTGGAAATTATATTCAGTCTGATCCTATCTCAAAGCGATGTATTTACAAATTTTTTATAGTTCTAAAACAATTAAAAAAGTCATAACAATAACACACAATAGCATTTTAATTTTATTAGACACGGTGCGTCCTCTCTCTCACACACAGATTCTAGTTCTGCTTCATTGACTGCTGGTTCTGTTGGACAGCGAATAAAGATGCTTACAGTCGCTGTTGCTTGTAAGGTGCTAATATGTGTAAAATGCAAATTTCGTTGTAAAAAGCTTTTTTGCAAAATTATCGCCTCGAAGAGAAAATTATTTATATCACGAGAGAGAGAGGAAAGCGTTAGTGCTTAAGAAAGCTCTTGCGTCAACACCGGGAGGGTATTGAACCTTTCATCTGTAAAAATTTACACAGGATTTTATATTTTCATGTGTAACAGTTTTTTTGATATATTTTAATTTATTTATTATTTAAGAATGTATAGTCCACACATATTCTCATAAGCTCTTTCTCTATTTCTCTTTCTTAAAATTTCTCTTGATCTCATTTCAAGTTTGTTGCTTAAGTCTTTAGATTTTTAATTTCTCAAGCAAAATCATATTGTTCAGATACAATTAAAAAATTTAAGCACATTTTTAAGATTGTGTTTTCTTTGGGTTTACTTTGCTTTTGAATTTGAATATTCAAAGTCAATGTCATTGTCGTTGTCGTTGTCGTTGTCGTTGTCTTGACTGAAAATGATTTAAGTATTAAGTATAGTATATGCTTAGTTCGCTTTAAATTAAGCAAAACTATCTTGAAATTTGTCGTGTCAAATGCTAATCCATTTAACGCATTTTAAGTTAAGGAAGTTAAATTTGTTTAGGCCAAATACACACAAATTTGTTCTCGCCAAATGCCATTCGCAAATAAACATTTTTTAAACAAATGTGTTCATAATTGCTTCATTGCGATCGCTTTATGGGCAATTATTTAACTAATTTAAATATTCTATGGGTTAAAAGGTTTTTATACTAATTAAACTTTAATTTTTTTATAAATACTGGTTTATTGTAAACAGTGAAATATAATTATTGTGAGGTACTACTGTCAGAGGTGTAATGAGTTGTTATATTTGTTTATACTGAATTGGAACGCCATTTTCATTATTTCCTTATTTTACTAATTTTAAAAAAAAAAAACAAATTTTCATATACTATGAAAATTGAGATATAAAATCTTTTTAATTATTATTGCTTTAAGTAAAAGATATTTGGCGTTTTTTGCGTGTGTTAAACTTTAAACTGTTATAATTTTGATATGGCTATCTGGCAACTGACTTATCTGAAAAAGCAAATATCAGTACTTTTCTTATTATTCTTTAATAAATGATAGCTTATTATGGAAAAATATATTACAGCAAAATGATTCCCATTTAAAGTTATTACACAGTAAATATAAGTGCTTCAATAATAAAATACAAATTGTAGCATTTCCTAATGCAATAACTACTCTGCGTTATTGAATACATATCACCAAAAAATTCAACGAAATTATAGTCCTTCTCTATATCCTATACATTTTTCTAATAACCATTTGAAATTTTGTAATAATCATATAAAATTTTTTTTTCTCCTTCTTTGTTAAGTCCTTTGAACGCACTAGTAATTCTGATTAACAGATCTTATAATGAATTACAACAACCTTAACTATATAAAATAATAAGAATAAGATTTAAAAAAATCTGCATAATAGTTGTTAAGATATGGATAACAAACTCAAAGTCTAACAAACAAAAAACACAGTTCCGAACAGTTCAGTTGGTTATAAGAGAAATTTATATATACCAGTATTTTAAGAACTTGCATGAAGAGGCGCGGCTTCAATAATGATAGGTACAGAAGCTTTTTGCGATGTAGGCAAAGGAACTCTATCTCTTCTAATGAACAGCGAAGAGGAAAGGAAAAGAGAACTATATTGAGAAGAACTGCCAAGACTATCACAATCTAAAATGCTTTAAGATACTTACAACCTAAAACGGTAGTCCTTGAACAAAGAACTAACAAAGAACAGCCTAAGAATTATTACCAGAATACTAACCGGTAACTGTAGATTGAATAATCACCTAACAAAGTTAGGAATCCAGACCAACTTAAACTGCAGATACTGCAAAGAAGAGAGAGTGAGAGAAACCGCATACTATGTGCTAAGAGAATGCTTGATACTGGTGCACAAGTGGAAGAAACAGCTAGAAAGGTCTTTCATGAAACATAAGGATTCAAGGCTAGAAAATATAGGCTCTATACATACTATATTTCATTACAAAAATCAGACTTGGAGAAACAATAAGACTTGGGGCACAATAAATATGTTAGGTCTCAGTGTCCCTTTTTCTAATAATGAAATTGTATTAATAAAAACTTAAGAATTTCTATATTAAAAATAAATTTATATGATTTTAATAATTAGTTATAGAAAAAAATGTGATATTTTGATGCATCGTGAATTGTACCAAATTTCTATATGTAAATAGCTATCATTACAAAAGTGTGAAATAACATAATAACATAATATAGATTACATATAATGTTGGAAGATAATAATATTTGACAAAAAAGTCTATTTTCATGTATAATAGGAAACTATTACCTACAGGGTATATATTCCACAAAGCTGTATATATTTTAAAGCGTCTAAAATAAAAGATATGTAACACTTCTTTAACATTTAAATGCTTGATTTAAGTTGCCAAATAAATAACTTTATCTAAAACTTACACAATAACGTTGGGACACAATAAATCGTTAGTAAAGTATGTCTTTTCTTTCATTTGAATCTATGGTGAAAGTCCATTGAAATTATCTATGCAGTTAATTAATAGTTTCTGTACAGCTTAATACCAATAGGAAAGCTTCAACCTTTATTTATAGTATTGTTGGTCGATATAGTTGATGTGATTAAACGGCATGAATAGAGAAAAATGAGCACAATATTAAATGTTTTATCTTAGATAAAATCAAAAATTTTAATTATGTATGAAAACTATATTTTTTATTATTACTTTATAAAAATCTGTCTCAGTTTTATTTTGCTAAAACTAAGCAAATCTATTTGATATTTGATACTACAATAATAATTTAGTAAGTGTTTTGATGATATTTTGTCATATAATATCCTTAATATAATATTTACTATTTAGTGTTAAAAAAAATGTTGAAAATAGCATAAGTGTTGAACTCTACAAAAGCAGTACGAAACCATTATTTTCTTGTCCAAACCTATTCAAAAACTTAACTTGCTACATATTTATAGTCCTCTTTGATCATGTCAGCCGCCTTCTCTGCTATCATAAACACCGGACCATTTATATGACCTGCTATTATTTCTGGCATTATACTAGCATCAGCTATTCTTAGATTTTTTATACCATAAACGCGTAGTCTTGGATTCACTACTGCCGAACGATCTGTATGTGGTCCCATTTTAGCTGTTCCGGAGTAATGATATATATTATAAGTAAAATGTCGTGCATAACATTCCCAGTAAGCTCTTGTTTTATAACCGTATTTTTTACAAGTCGGCAGTACTTTCTCCAGTAATCTACCATTAACTACCTTAAATGCTGGTTGATCCACTAAACTTATAGCTTTTAAAATACCCCGCACAGCGATATCCAAATCGTAAGGATGTGCTAAATAATTTGCATATATAAGTGGATATTTTAATGGGTCTTTACTCTTGAGCATTATACGTCCACGACTTTTTGGTCTAAGAATCATTGGAAATATCATAAACGCATTTAAATTATCACGCTCAATATCCTCATATAAAGCGTGATACAAATTTTGTTTCACACCAAAAACATTTACTAAAACTGGAAACGCATTTAAAGCTCCACCAACCAAAAATAATTCAATATCAGGCCAACCATCTTGTTTCGTTGGATGATCGAGATCCCAAAAAGCAATTGCTTGAGATCCGCCAGGTAATCCTAAAGGACCCTCACCGCTCATAAATTGATTTATTATTTTAATATCAAAGAAAGCCTTAAAATACAATGATGTAGAATTTGTTAGAAAAGTTAGTGCTGGTGCTATATGATCTTGTAAATTATAACCAACAGCTAAATCTGCTAATGGTTTTATACCCATTTCCCGTAAATGTTTTGCAGGTCCTACACCCGATAACATTAACAATTGTGGTGTATTAATAGCACCAGCGCTTAAAATAACTTCACGTTTTGCTAACACTTTGTACGACCTTCCACCAGTACTCATTATAACGCCATAAGCAGTTTTTGTATCTGGATCGATTAAAACTTTAGTGACTAAAGCAAATTTTTTTATATGCAAATTTGGACGTTTTCCTTTTAATGGATATAAATATGCACGGTTTGAACTCCAACGTATAGCATTATGTATTGTTGTTTGTAAGTAGGATACTCCCGTTTGTATATGTCCATTATAGTCACGATATTTTAAACCATCTTGTTGTGCAGCTGCAACGAAAGCATCTGCTATAGCGGATCGCCATTTAACGTACGAAATTTTTACCGGACCTTTTCGCCCAACATATTCTGGTTCCGCATCTGGTACCGTTGAGCCTTCATACTTTTGAAAATATGGTAACACATCTCGATAACTCCAGCCTTCATTACCTAACTCTGCCCAACGATCATAATCCTTACGATTGCCACGTGTATACATCATATAATTGAGTACCGATGAACCACCCATAACCTTACCGCGCGGCCAGTTACAACGATTATTGTTCATGGCGAGACAAGCCGTATTCGATGGTTGTGTACGATACTTCCAGTTAATTTCACTAAGTTGTAAAAAATGCGCTAACATTGGCACATCCATTGCTAAATTTTCAGGACCGCCCGCTTCTAACAATAGAACACGCCATTTTGGATTTTCAGATAAACGTGCGGCTATTGTACAACCTGCCGTACCTGCACCAACGACTATAAAATCATATTCTGTCAATAAATTGTAAATGTTATCACGATTTTCGAGATTAACTTCAGTCTGACCACGTTGTAGAAATTCCAGGAATGAAAGTATAACGTTACGTTCCTGTGCTTTGAGAGCACAAAATATTTGTGTTAACAATAATATAACTATGACGAATTTATTTTTCTGAAACAGCATAGTTTTTAATTTATATATTTAACCAAATATATATTAAAAATTTTGTGTGTTTAGTAATATTATATCTAGGTATAACATATTTATCAGTTTTAATTTTGTTTTCGTTTTTGAGCTGTTCTATCTTTACGACATTTTAGCACCGATCTTTCAACTATACTGTTTGTGCTATGAGAATTGTGTTCTATATGATTCTTACTTTATAGGGATATATATTTTTTAGCTCTAAAAGGTAAAAAAATTAATAGCACTAAATTGTTTAATTGCTGTACGTTTTTATATGCCTTGAAATATCAATTAAGTGAGGTATAGTTGAATATTTCATTAAACTATATTACAACCAATACCATTTAATTTTTTATATTTTATTTTTTTTTTTAAATGGTTGGAATTTTTAATAGTGGCAATTTATGTTAATTGTATTGAGATGACAATTTATGTGTAATATTTCACTGCTATTAAGAGATAGTAATTCAATTGATCAACATTAATAGAATTATGGTTCAATGTCCCACTAAGGAAAACGGACACTAAGAAGAAGAATGGACTATATATTTGTCAAATTTCAAAAAAATGAAAAAAATGAATTTCTAGTGAAAGTATAGTTGAATATATTTAGATACTAATTGTGTGACTTTAGGTAGTTTTTGGGGTCTATATTAACCTCAAATTATATTATATAGAGAGTTTGCAATTGGGAAACGATGAAGTTAGCGCTAGGCGCTATAAGCAAATAGATGCGACATCTTCCCAAGTTTGTAAAATCTGCCGTATACTAACCCCATGCAGTACCAATAAATAAATATATATAACATGCCAAATTTCTTTCTAATATACAGATAAATACTAAAGTTGAACAAATACAAATACAATAATATCACACCTACAAAAATTTTCATACTTACAAAAATTTACAGAGTAATTTGATTATTTTATTTTATTTTCAATAAATTTATTATCTTGAAATATGCGGAAAAATTCCTGAAGCAATTTATTCATACATATAGCTGTGGATTGTATCTATTTTTATAAATCAATATTAATTAAATAATAATTAAACTAATTAAACTTTTAATTTAATTAAAAGTTCTAACTTTTAATTATAATTGTTCAAAAATACTGCCTATAAACTGATCTCAATTAAGTGATTAAGTGATTCCAATCGAATAGTTTAAATTATATTCACTTACAAATGTATAAATGTAAACTTTTTATCAAATTCCATTAGTTAAAGTTATTAACATAATTAATATACGTTAAAAGCAAAATTTTTATTTATAATATGATGAATATATTATATATAAGTACAATGAGTACTCATTTGAAGTCGGTACTCATTTGAAAGTAATAACTTTTCCATACCAAGTTTCTCTATATCAAACTCACGTAAACTTATGGCAAACAGCGACATTATATACTTAAACGTCATACCTACCTATTATAATTTCTAGTCATCGTAATCTTTGTTTCTTGTTAAATCGATAATTTTGTTGCTCTGTAGAGTTCCGGTTGGTACATCTTATGACTAGCGTCTCATTAGGTGCTGTAATTTATTTTTTGTGAGTTTTATAAAATTTACACAACAAAACATCTTCAAGTAGTTGCATTATCTCATATTTATACTATTTTTTTTCTGTTGATATTCCTATAGTTTTCCAATTAAATTCTGCATAATTCGGAAGCTAGCATTAACACTGTGTTATATTAATGTCGTACCTTCTTATGTTATTCATAGAGCACATTAAATTGAATATATCGTATCAGATATAACAATGAAGTTAACCAACTATACAGATATACGGCATACAAAGAACACAGTCGGAGTAGAATATAGGTATATACAAAAAACACACTTTGAATAAACTATATTATACTTATGCCTAATGACAGGGCGATATAAAGATTATTGGGAGGCAAATTTAGAACAAAAAGAAAGAGAGGGAAGATATTAGAAAATATTATAGAATGTATTATACTTATGTCTAATGATAGGGCAATATTAAGATTATTGAAGGGTAAATTTAGAACAAAAAGAAAGAGAGAGAGAAGAGATCAAGAAAAATATGGGGTGACATTATGTGGCAAGAGCTTAGAGAGATCAGCAACTGAAAAGCAGAGGCAAAAAGCAGAAGAATGAGAGAAACTTTAGAAATAGGTTTATATTCTAAATGGATTGTAAGGTTATAATAATTATGATAATAGCATAGGTATAACATGTTCCATTTCTACAGAAATTATGTTATATTTTTCTATTATTTTCTATTATTGTATAGTTTCTACACTCTGTCATGTGTCGGTATAAAAGACTTAGCTTAATATAACAAATAGATCTCCGTTATTCATATTGTTGACAGTGAAACTAATCTTCACAATGTAAGTTATATATAACATAAATGATTTCATAATTATGTTCTTCAATTCGAGAATTGGCTGTCAAATCACTTACCATATTCAATTAGGTTAAAAATTATTTTATTTTTGAATAAACTTCTTAATGTATTTACCGTACAGTTTTCTTTAATAATGTTCTCCATTCATATTAACTTGATGTGAATTGAATGGAGCAATTAATTTTTAGTATGTATATTTAGAATAAATAATCTAGAAGTAAATAATTGTGCTTTAACGAATTTAATTATGAACCAACTTAGAATCTATAGACAGTATTAATACCTATAATAATGAATGTGTACTGAACTTTAAAGCTAATCACTTAAGTGTTAAATTCATTAAATTTTTTTTTAATAGTTTATAGTAATTAAATATTTTATAATATTTCTGTTTTTTTTTTTTAATTTTCTTCTTATCTGTACATGTACTATATACATGTACCTATAATTTAAGAATCATGATGATATACCAATCAATATGATTCGATGTTAGTACCAGGAAACTCTTGTGGAAACCTGAGTATATATATCACGTAGATTATACGTTATTATAAAACTGGTTTTCTCAACGTTCGTATAAAATTGTAGTTCTCATAAATTGCTAGTTAATTAATTGAAATGAACTATATATTATTTTTATTGATTGGCTAGACGAGTGAACTTTAAAGGTTTTTACATTAATATTAATTTTTATCTCCTCATATATAATAATCTAATCTAAACCAATTTATACCGTTTATACTATATTATGACAATAAAATTGTGACTAAATACGAGTATAAACGCTGTTTACATTTATATTCTTTTCTTTGATAAACTTTTTATCCATTTTTTCACTTTAACAAACTTGTTATCCTCAGTATTATTCTTTCATTAAAAATAATCTGTTGCCTCTCGCATAGAATGGACGTGTGGCGTATTAATACACGGAAATGCGGCGTTACAAAGACTCATAATATCGCAAGTCATGCAACAGGCAATAATACTCCTTTCTGTTTTTCCATATTTCAGTTAATTTATCAACATCAAATATTCTCTTATTTACTTAATGCAAATGTGTCAAAACTTATATCGAAAAAAAATTCGAAGACGAAGAAGAAATGTTATGAATTAAAGCGAAATGAATTATTTATGAAGAAGTCAATTTTAGACAACAAGATACATATAAGTATATTCTGTTTTATTATATTACATAGTCCTCTTTAAGCTATAAAAAGCATCAAAAATAATAATATAAAGAGTTTATAAAAAGAGGTTTAAAAGGTGTACATAAAATAGGTTGTCAAAATTGTTTTCTTGTAGTTTTTTCAATAAGTCCAATAATAAGTATTATGTTCTTCTCAGTACTTTAAAAGTTTTAATACAGCAGACGTATGTCCATTTTATTAAATGCTCAAGTTGACAGCATAATTTTAATATTTAATTATTTAATTTTAAATTAAAAAAGAATTTAAAACTAAAATAAAAAGGGTGAACTGCTTTAAGTAGTAAAAAGTTTCGGTAACGGTGATAATATGGTTACGCTACCATAGGTTACTATAGTAAGTAACATTCACATAGCCAGGTTACTTCCCCAGCAGCAAAAACCCATAATAAAAACTTTGTTCTACTGAAGAAATTAATAAAGAACTTAAAGTTACCCCTAGACAAACTTTACTTTGTCTATGCCTATGTATAGTACCTATAGTATATTAATAAGAGTTATTTGAGCTATGGGTACTTAAAATTTGTCTGATAGTTTTTGGAAACTAAATATTTTTGGTTGTTTTTTTATAACATTTTTGTTATAATTATTTTATTTACTATTAATTTATTAATTTTATTTACTATTAATTTTAATAGTAATAAGGTAATGTAATTAGTTTAAATGCTAAGTAATAATAGATACGTTAGCTTAAAATTTGTGTAAATGTTTTTAGAAATAAAATTAATTTGTTTTGTCTTTTTTCAAAGCATATAATTAAATACAACTTAAATATTTAATATAATAAGTTTAACATACTGAATACATAATTCAACGATCAGATATACTATAAGAGTTCTTATACTAAAATATTATTACCTTTCACGCTTCACTGTACATTGTTCTGGTGTTTCATTTTCAATATGCCTTACTCTTTCAATTTTAATTCGTTTATATAGATATATAGATTTTTGTTTATAGATTTATTTGTAGCTAATTGAATTGAATACGACTTGAATTATACCGCTATCTAAATGTTTAAATCTTTGTTCTTCAATATTAATTTCCCTTTACAAAAAATTTTCTCAACAGAAAATTTATTCTTAATAATAAATGGAGAGGTTTCGAAAAGTAAATAATTAATGCTTCTACAAAAAAAGAATATTCAGGCCTATTCTGAATCGCAAGGGAATGGGAGTTTGTTCCCTGTTCCCAATTCCCCTATTCTGAATAAATTTGGTATGTTCCCTGTTCCCAATTCCCCTATTCTGAATCGCATGGGAATGGGAGTTTTTTCCTAATTTTGCACAATTGTTGTTGTTCACGAAACTGCTGTCTCCCTAGCGATTCAGAATAAGGGAGCTGTGTGTTCGGGAACAGCGTGGGAATAGGGAGTTTTTTCTCTGGGAGTATTCAGAATAGGCCTGATTATTAAAAATAAACCATTAAAAAATATATATAATTAATTAACTCAATTATATAAGTGAATTTGTTAATGAACTTTCACAGCAAATTAACAAAACTCAACGTTGAAACATATAGTTCAAGTACGGTTTTGAGTCAGTTCACTAATGAACACTAAATCTGAGCTTCACGAGTTACTTGGTACTTGCAGTGTCGAATAATTATTTACGAATAACTAAATACAAGAAATAATTCCAAGACCACTGATGATGGGTATTTGGCAATATTCGAAACAGTTGTATGGTGAGTTAAGAATTCAATTAATTAAAATAATATAAAAAAAATTTGTTGTTATAGTTCATTACTTTTGAAAACCTCTCTATAAAATGCCACATTTTCTATTAAAGTAAAAATAGTCATTACTGTCTTATTAACGTTAAGATTAAATTTTATTTATCATAAATAATAATAATAAATTATTCACAAAAGTTGATACGTTGCTCAACCCCGCCCTAACAAACCTAAAGTCCATCTCAGGACGCACAGGAAGATATGCTGATCTACGGTCCTTCGTCAGTAAAGAGATAAAAAAAATGATAATGATTCTAGTATAGTTAAAGTTTAGTGTGGGCAGGGATAAGAAAATTTAAATTAACTGTTATTAATATTTTAAATTTACGATATCTATCTTAAGTCGCATTTTGCAATATTTCTACAAATTACTAAAACTGGTATTATTTATATACCAATTCGTATGTGCTTACGACATTATTTCTAATTTAACTATAAAAAAAATATATATAAAGTGCACATTTGCATAATATACAATAAATCTTATAATACATGGAATTTTATTTATAATCAATTACCAAATTTTTTAATAGGCATGAAATAAAATCTCAAGTAAAAAATTAGCAATTACAACACACCACAAAAAGTCAAAATTTTTGTAAACGAACTTCTCTGAAACTCGGTCAAAGACAACAGCTTTGCATTTAAATAATTTTCAAATAAACTTCTATTAGAATTTTATATCCCATACACTAGAAGCCAATAAACCCACAAGCTACAAAAGTAGTATGAAAAACTAATTACTATTTTAATTCAGCAAAATGCCGTTAATAAATTTAGTTAGTTACAGCGAACGACTGGCTCAACAGCGCTCAGACAACATTATAAAATGCAGTCAAAATCATATGAATAATGTTCTAAAAATCACTTACTAACCAAAAAGTAGAAACCTACAAAATTTTGCAATTTATTCAAGTAGCTGTGAAGCCGAAGCCTTGGCAACTGTTGTAATTAACTATATGGAAGTTTCTTTTGTAGCTTAAGCTTAAGATACGGCTCTGAGTCAGTGAACGCCAAATAGTCATGGTTAAATTGCCATTTGAAAAAAACACTACGAGAATGAAAAGATTACAATTATGTCAT